TCCCGATCCACAGTACGATGGCACTGACCCAAACGAAGGAGGGTGGAAGATAGTTGCACAGTGAAAGCAACCCATGTTCCTCTAGTGAGGGGACACGCCCACTGCAACAAAAGAGTCTCATGTCTCATCACAATCCATTTGGAGGTACAGGAAGCATGGAGAAAGCTTTGATTATTCTGAACACCTTCGAACAACTACAGCCTCATGATCATCCTAGCAGCATTCCACAATTGCAAGGTTTGAATGGGGGTGGGGGCTTGGTTTGGTGTGGTTTGAGGGCTTTGTTTAGGCGTGGTGTGCGTGCTAGAGTAGATTTTGATTCGGGCTCGGCTTCGTCTGGGTTAGGGCTGAGTATAGCAGGGATTGGAGTGGGGCTTCAATTGGCTTTGGCTTAGCGTCCGCCTGAGGTCGTTGCAGGTAGGGCAGGCTGGCTTGGCTAGGGTTTAGGGTCGGTGTGGCACAAAGCTTCGAGTGGGTTTAGGATTGGCAAAGTGTGATTTTGAAAGTGATGCGGGGTTTTTCATGGACAGCTGTGGGGTGGGTTTGATTGGTGTGGGGCCGGTTTGAGGAGTGCCGGGCTAAGGGCTTGTTTTGGGTGGGTTTGGCATTTGTTGAAGCGTGGTCTACGGATGATGGATGGTGAAGGTGGGTTTGGGGTGGGGCTTGCTCGTTCAGGGTGGGTTTTGGGGTTGGTTTAGGGTTGGTTAAGTGTGGGGTTCTGGTTGGTTTGGAGCGGGTTAGAGATACTGCTTCTTTTTTGTTCAGGGGTGGTTTGGCGTGGGAAGAAGACGGAACTAGAATGAATAATCTACATGACATGAAATACATTCTGGATTCGTCCATTCTCCAGTCTATGTCTTTCTCACTCTCATTCACCAGTCTCGCCTATCAATTAAGGACAGGTGAATAAAAGAGTGATGGATGGAGACAAAAGGAGGCCAAAAGCCATTCTCTCTTCTTGGTTCGTCACCGTCTTATCCATCTCCAGTCTCCATTCTATAGACGAGGCTGGGCAAGCTCTTCCAAGTAGTGGTTTACTGTTTGGACGGTTGGGTCTATCTCTCTGACCCAGCCGCTCCTTCCTTTCAAGACTCACCGTTTGCACGCGACGGAAGGGAGCGGAGAGCTCGGGCTCGGTTTAGGGTTGTTGGTTGTTTTAGCTAGGGTTGGTTATGGGCTTCGCGTTGGTTCAGGGAGAGTGGGTAATCCAGCGGGATGAAATATCTAGCGGGATTAAAACAAATCCTCACAAAAAGTAGACCTCCGCAATGATGCACCTGGCAAATAGATCGGGGCCAAATGTGATCTAGATCCCCTCGAAAATGAGCTGCACCTTATTCATCAACCAGGGTTCATTCATCTTGGTATCCCATGGGTAAAGAATTGTTTTGCAAGCGCAGCGAAATCGCGACGTACTCTCCTGCAGTTTGACATGGATTCTGAACGGAAGGAACCTCCATTTGGAGGCCGTATTTGTTGGGAAGCCCATCCCAGATTTTTGTCGGGCTATTGTTCAAGCACCCAGAACGGTTGGCGTCCTTCGGTTTCTTTTCAAAGTCAGCCAAAAAGGCTGATACCCCCCCCCAAACAAAAAAGAGTGGCTTCCCTTGGGGTGCGCTCTAAGTCAACTCAATCCTAAAACGGGTATCAACTCACAAAAACAAACAGCGCCATGAAATCACCGAAGCCGAAGCCAATTCGGAACCCCTGAACAAATCCAACCAACTTTATGCCAGCCCGTGGAAGCACCGCGCCTTGCTGGGTTGACGTCCCAAGCGAAAGCAAATCCGCTGGAAAGCATCGGCGCCCTTGCGCTGCGACGCGAAGGACCTGAGACGCGAAGCCGGGCTACAAACGGAGCACCTGGCTCGAAATGGCTTGGCCAATCCCGACTTTCCAGAATCCATGTTGGAAAACCACTGCAAAGAAAAGCCCTTTCGTTACCCAAGGTAAAGATTGAGGATCGACTTTGAACAGCGCAGGAGCTTGCTAACAAAAAACAATGTAAAGCCCAGTGTAATAGTTTCGTGCTACCGGTATACCCCTCATATTTGCGAACATGTGGTGCCACAACCAGAAACACATTGCCCATAAAGTACAACTATATAATATTTTACACATTTAAAACCATTGAATAATGCATAAGAACTAATCAAGATACGGATTACGGATTGGCTGTTCAGGTATTATGAGCTCCATAGTACAGTGGGATAGATTGTACCATACTGAGGCTGGTGGGTTTTGAGGTGTTACGCTCCTGCAGATTAACACGGAACCCCAAAACCATCATGGTTAGAGGACACTCCTGTTTGAGGGAGCCCCTTACCGGGTTCCATGTCAATTAGCCGGTAAATCGCCCGCCTCTGGATACAAATACGTTCGCAGAGTCGCCTTCCAGTTTGGTGAGAGGGTAGAACAAATTCCAGTAAATGAAAAGCAAAAACCAGGTGAAGCCAGCGGAAGCCATCTATCTCCAAGCTGTCTTGGGTTCAAAGGTGCCAAGTTCGGCCCACCTGGTGTTTTCCCAATATAACCTCAATGTGGAATGGGGAACTTGACGGGTCCAAAGCGGGTCATCAGGTCCAATTTTGGGTCCAAGTTTGGCCCCTGCGATCAAATGGAACGGGGAGCCCATGAGCCCATGGGATCACGTGTTGCTAGTTGCTGCGTCAACCATCTAAACAGGAAGCTAATTTACGTTTGGTTGCTAGGTGTTACAAGCCAGTAACTCATCAGTCCATGATGTACTTGACGTGATGCTTCGAAACCGTATCTCATTTTTGTCATGTCTGCCTGTGGATAGTGTAACAGTGGAACACTGACACAGCAGGTCGGAAGGTGTCAGCACAATGCCATGCAGCACGTTTTTCGCCAGGCTGCACCCGAGGTGAGTCATAGTTTCTGCCTGGCCCACACAGCAGTGCAGTAGAGCAGCCACGATGAGACAAGCACCGATTTGGTGCGAGATACTGTGACTATTTCCAAAGCGCAAGATTCAATCTGTGGTACGAACCACCCACCTTGGAGCATGCGCTTTCGTCAATGTCCCGTCTGATTGGAGTCACAGGGCAGCCTGAACATGCATATTTGTGATCACAGCGTTTCCATTGTTTGCAGTGGCCAACAACTCCAATTGAAAACACTTTTCGCATCGAATGAGGGCAGCAAAGGATCTCAAAAGCTATCCTCATGCCTGCGCCAGACATTTGTGGATTTCCCCCAACGGGTTCCTTTCGGATGCGAAAAGCCCATGAGAACCTGCTGCAAGCGATCGGATTCCGTCTCTCCGTGTAACGGGTCTGCCTCTCCGGCCCAGAGTTCTGGGCATGACGCCGAGCCATCACCTGGCAATGCAACGCCAGGCCTTGGTGTTTCTCTCAAAACAGTGTGTGTCTCGAGAAAGTATCCCAAAATCGTTTGATTTCATTTCTGGTTCGGGTCATGTGGAGCAGCGGTTTCCTCCAGCAGAGGGATGTCGGCAAATCTCCTAAACCGTCCTTCGGAGTCTCACCCGAAGCCAACAGCTCTGCTTGCAATTGAATGTGGGTCACAGCCAACATCTGGCATTAAGGAGGCCTATCGAAATGCCAATCGTCAAAAGGACGTCCTTATCCATTTGAAATTTAAAGTTTGGCTTGTCCCTGGGCAACCTTCACTTGTCTGGGTTCTAGTTGTATGGCCCCAACAGGTTCTTGGCACTTGACAGATTGAGGCAACTCTGACAGAATGGAACCAGCCCGTGCCTTGCAGTCCCTCTACCAGTGTTTGTGTCCCGCCCCGACTAGTCCGAAATAATCAGGTTGCTTACTCGGAATAAAACCTGGTTGGGATTCACTCCTTAAACGCTCTTCTCACAGAGTAAAAAGTCCGGAAACAGGAGAAGTGAGCAGAGTGCGTTCGCTAAGCTGAATCCCGATACAAAGACGCGCAGCTTAGCGCGCCTGTTGATCCCTGGCTCCATTCCACACCCCAGGCTTGAGCCAGGCGCCGGTGCACGGATCAAGCAAAGCGAGCTCCCTCCAATCCCGCGGCACGGAACTTGACTGGTGACTTGGCGGGGTCCCTTTTGTTTACTAGGTTCATTTTGGATCATTTTGGCTGGACTTGAGCTGCGAGTATCACCCTATCGACGTTGCCATGGACCGCACGCGGGAGGGACCACATGCGGCTGCTCGGCTTCAAGAGAAACCAGCAAACAAGAACAACCAGCGCACCACTGGAGGTCTGGGCATCCGTATCACCAACTCGTCTCTAGCAACATATCTGACAAAACAACAAGCTTTCTTTCTCAGCGAGCATGGGATGCAGCAACGTCCAACCACCCAATTGCTGAGCTTCCAGAGCGGAATGCAACTTCCTCTCCAGGGTCCAAGCCAAAACATCGATTCCGGTGCCATGGGGTACAGCCGTTGAGGCACAAGCCACGCAAACTTTGTTGGAGCTGTGCAACATGTTTAACACCTATTGGCTGCAGCACCCTGGCAAGCGAAGAGCGAACTTGCGCCGAAGAATGTTTCATGTCATGACACATCTCTTGTTGAACGCACACAACCTGACGGTTGTAGATAGCTCCGTTCCCTCTCAACGCTGATCATATGCATCACAGCAACTCGTTCCTGAAGGACCGTTCTGTTTCCCTTTCAACATCACCTAAACTAAAGAAACTACCTGTTGACCTCTTGTTTTCTCCCATGTTTGAACATTTCAGTGCCCAAAAGCCAGTGAGTTTGACTTTTTGGTTACAAAATCGCAAGGGTTTATGCAGGCTTCACTTTCATCCTACTGGAAACTGATACTACAACCAGCTATTGAAGTGGTCAGTGGGGACTATTGTCCATTTAGACAAGGCAAGCCTCAAAAGACATGCGCAGCCGAAAAGGTGGGCGAGCTTCGCAAAACATGAATGATAGAGCTCAGTTGGTTGATATTTTCCGGGAACCAAAAGGAAACCAACCCATTTCGAGGCGTTTGGATCGAAGCCACACGTCTGAGATGCCAGCGCCCGTCGAGCTTCCCGACGGCCTCCGAGCCCGGATCAACATGGGCGCAATCCATTTGGCGCAAATCCAGACACTTCATGCGCCTATCCAAAATGCTCTCCTGTTGATGGGTAAAATCCCCTTTGTAGCACCTAGGATGGGAAGCCACCCACCAACTGGAGGGGGTTTGTCAAGCAATGGCAGATAATTCACCAACCAGAACCCCCAGAAAAACATGGAATCTTCAGGGGCTGAGATTGGGAACCCCCTGTGTGATGCAGTCATAATTTCGCAGAGCCTCCCATACAAAAACGACAGTTGCGGCAAACACATGCTACAGCTCCAACCGTTTGCCAACGGGGCAACGTCTTCAAGCCAACCACTGCCAAGTCTACACGTGTCCGACTGATGGTGCTTCCTCATCTTCTTTTGGGACAACTGTGGCGTTCCTCCAAGAGCAAACCTGCACTCAGATATGGCGATGAATTCCAATGGGGAACCGTTGGTGCACATGAGTCCCTGTATATATATATATATATGTATGTGTACGTGTGTATATATATATACAATATGTAGTGGTCCACACAGTTTCCATCAAAAAGCCCTAGGACTGACGCCTTCTTCTCGCTGGGCATGACGGATTCCTTCTTCTCGTTGGGCATGGCGTCGTGGGCCTGAAGTTGCCAATGCCTTCAGTACTCTCGCCACTGAGACGGATTAGAAGAGGCTAAAGCACCGGAAGAAAGCTCCACAAAGCAAAGAAACATCCACAGGGTGGTTCAAACTGGAACCTCCAAACTGAGTAAATTCGGTTTGGTTTCCAGTTAAAACTTATATAACAAGCACAAAACGGGAGGTGCCACTCGAAAAACAAACAAACATCCTGCACCTTGTACCCAATGAGCAAGGCTTGATGTCTTTTGGAGGGTACCCTTTTTGGCAATAATTTGAGAATTAGGAACCATGGTAGTTCCTTTCTTTGGTCGCCCTTCAATCGCAGCATCGAGGCACAGCTGAATAGTACTCGGGTCTGTCCAAATACTTCAAACCCTCATGGTTTTTTGACCTTTCGCTTTTTGGGGGCAGGCAGTCAACCAAAAACACAAATCCTCTAGCATGTTCCTAGGGTTTGGAGCCGAACGGCCCCGCCTTTGGAGCCACAGCGGGGGCGCCATGCCATGACCTGGCAGGCAACATTGCTAGGTTTGGGTCTTGGAGTCAACCAAAACCAGCCCTGGCCAGGGATTGACAAGCACAAATTGGGGAATCACATGATGTGCTCCGGAAAATCTGCCATCCGAGCCACACCTCATGGCATGTGGGCAGCATGTGTATGGTTTGCTGCCTTGCTTGAACATGCTCCGCTGTGGGCAAACCGCACTTTGACCAAACAGTGATACTTTCTTTGCTGAGTTCGTGTGACCAACGAATTCTAGTCGATTCGTTCTTGCCCCCGTTAGCAGCCGCCATCTGCCCCACTACAATCCACCGACTTGAAACAAGTAATTTACTGGAAAGGACCCTCGTTAATGGTGCTGCTGTTGTGTGAGCTCGTAAGAATTTACCCAAATGACATGAGCGTGCCACATCAGCCCGCCAATTTGTTCATGCTCCCAGCCAGGTCGTACCGTTTTTAGCCCGCCTTTGCCTGCCCGCGCCCTTTGTACTTCGCCAAACAGGACGCAACCTTCAGTACCTATCGCGTATTTGTCACCCTCCCAAAAAAATCCCAGGAGTACGTCACCTTGGACGTTAAAAGGCCAAGTCAAACTTCGACTGGGCCTTGGTCTCGTCCACCGGCGACAGGTCTCGAGACAAGGACCTTGGCGCGCCTGCCCACCGCCTGACGTATGTGTTTAGCTGAAGTGCCAGGCTGCCCTGGAACGTTAGCAAGCCATACATACGAGCCAGCATTCACAGTTCCCCTACTCGACCTGGGAAACTTAGAGAGCCCCCTGGTTGTTGAGGGAAATGTGAAGAGTTCCCAAGTCCTTTTCAATGGACCATCGACTGCTAGAACTGTCCATGCACCGACCTATGATTCTGGGCACAATCCATTGCACCAACAGCAACTGCAGCAAGGCAAGTGCCATCTCGAATCCCATGCGGCAGCACACACCTTTGCGGTTTCGCGACCTGTGATGAAGAGGTCTTCAAACATTGCTTCTTGGTTTCATGGAGCCATTTTTTGATTGCACAGCTTCTGCCAAAGATGGGCCAGGATATATGGGCTGGCCTCAAAATAGGGAGCCATCCAAATGGGTGGTTTCTATTGGTTTTCCTCTCAAACTAATCCCAAAATGGGTGCCCCTCCAAGACGCACACACCCATATCCATGTTGTATGCCATTGAGACCACTCAAACTTAGGGATTCTGTCTTTTGAGCGCAACATCGCCGTAGGTAAGTCCCAGTGGGTGTGGAACCCAACCAACTCATCCATTCTTAACGGAAGCCTCAGCTCTTGCCCCCCCGTCAAAAAACGTCTTGTTGCATTCTGGTTCATACTTCGTGAACCCTAAGATGTAGAACAACTCCAAGGAGATCTCAGACATGGGGAACCGAATACTTCTTTTCGGGGGGAAGTCGCTCAAATCGGTCCCACCGAATCTTAGCTTCAGACCTCGCAGCGCCTGGCAAGGCCAATGCTCGGCACGGATTCCTTCATTTGCTCCATCAACTCCTGAGCTTTGATTGTGGCTCGCGTGAGCTGCAGACAATGGACAGGGGCAGTACCATCTATTTTTGCAATAGGATACCTCATGGTGTCACAGCAAGAAGACATGCACATATCATGCCATGCTTAGTTGGACGACCCTTGAAGCGCCGAAGACGGCGCAGGTTTGTGCCATAAATATGCATGAACCGTCAGTGGCTTCCCTTTTATATTGCTCCAACAAAGGGCTTCCTCAAAAAAAACAAACCCATGTTGCGTATCTTGGCTAAAACTGCAAGGTAGCCAAACACGATCACAAGAGTCTAAGCCTTGCAAACAAGCACAAACTTGCAGGGTATAACATACTCTGGGACACGTTGGAGATACTGCCCTGTTGCATAACAAACATCATGTTTGTCCTATGCCTGCGTTGCAAATGGCAAGCACTGAACGTCATGTGCAAAGGATCTAGCGCATAGTGAGCTTGCCAAGATCCGCCGCAATGGTGGTGTCAAGTGATAATTCAACAACAACCGGCTGCCAAGTGCAAGGTTTCTTTGACTTGGGGTGGCCCTGGCAATCCATGCTTGAGGTCACTGATAAGCTAAGCAAAGTCCTGCTTAAACTTTGGATGTCACATCTTTCAAGGCTTTTTCTAAGACCAAATATGGGTCTGCATAATTATGGTAGACTTCATGAATCAACCGCCTCTCAGGGCGTCAAGGCCACATTGCCGTGAAATGCCACGGGCTCTGGCGGGCATAACTGCAAACAGAAATTTGGCATGACACCAACCACTTGCCGGGGTCGATTTCTATCTCTGACCGGCTCGAGGGAAAATGACTCAGGATCAAACAAGATGAAAAGGTAGTAGTAGTAGTGGTGATAGTAGTGGTGTTGGTGGAGGCGGTGGCGGTGGCTTCAGAAAGTAGAAGTCGCAGCAGTAGTAGTAGTAGCAGTAGCAGTAGCAGTAGCAGTAGCAGTAGCAGTAGCAGTAGTAGTAGTAGTAGTAGTAGTAGTAGTAGTCAAAGTAGTAGGTGTAGTAGTAGTAGTAGTAGTAGATTTAGTAGTGGTGGTAGTGGTGGTAGTAGTAGCAGTGGCAGTAGCCGTAGTAGCAGTAGTAGCAGTAGTAGCAGCAGTAGCAGTAGTAGCAGTAGTAGAAGTAGTAGCATTAGTAGCAGCTCTAGCAGTAATAGCTGTATAAGCAATAGTAGTATTAGCAGTAGTAGCAATAGTTGTAGCAGTAGTAGTAATAGTAGCAGCAGAAGTAGGAGTAGGAGTAGGAGTAGGAGTAGGAGTAGGAGTAGGAGTAGGAGTAGGAGTAGGAGTAGGAGTAGGAGTAGTAGTAGTAGTAGTAGTAGCAGTATGAGCAATGGTAGTAGCAGTAGTAGTAGCACTGCTACTGCGCTATCTACCCCTTTTTCCATACCGACTTACTAATTATGAACACCCTCCCGCAGTTCCACTCTATCTTTTTAGCTTACTATCAGGCGTGCCTGCTCACTTGCTAGTTTACCAACTTGCTAAATTGCGAACTTGATACCATATTAACGTACTATTCTATTCTCCGTCTCTGCGCTGGACACTGACTTACCAACCGCCCTGCTAACTCACTCCTAGCAACTGCCTTCTCCTTTACATGGTCGGAAATAACTTGCTTTCGACCCTCGATTAGGTTGCTTGATGCTAAAGTTTTGCAGATGCGTGTGCCGGATTGACCCCATGCCCAGGTGGGTTCTCAACACAAGGGAACTGTTGCGGCAACGTTTCTCTTCGGAATTCCCTGTGAAGGCTTTCACTTACCTGTCATTCTCGTGGCAATGCCCGGCAAGCACCTAGGCACCGTCCCCTTCGGGTCGCCACCCTTTGGTTCCGCCTCGGCCCTTCAGCTTCTGCTGCGCCGTGGCCGCGAGCGACTGGCCAGCAGGAGTCGGACAGTAGCAAATTCCCTCCCACAAACGTCGCACCTATAGCGGGTGCCTTGGGAAATCCAAGTTCCAAGCACCATCCGTGGGGATGAAGGGGGACGGAACCTTCGAGGCCCCTTTTGGAGGATAGATTTTTGACTGCCAACTCTCCGTGAAGAATCTGTCAAGAATCCCGTCAAATGGTTGAAACAAAATCCCTTAGTTCCAAAAGCCTTCCAGCGGGCTGGGAATGGTTCAAGGAATTTCCCCACTTTCCCAAAGCGCGAGCTCGTGCAACTTCTTCATTCCAGGACCTGGTTCAGAGTGGGGAGCATCAAGTCTAAACTGAAGCGACCATGGAGAGACACAAGAGCAACGCATTTTAAGGTACAACAGATCATACAGCATGAATTCAACATGATATCATGAAGTTCAATTTCCATAGTTGTCCCTTTGCTTTCATGTCAAGTCTCAAAGGAGGAACGACTCCCAAAAGGAAA